TGGAACAGACCTGATGAACAGAAAGCAAGCTAAGATGGTGGCCCCATTCTCAGAAACCCCACTCAGTACACCAGGACAAGGAGATGTAATCAAAAGAAAAAACTGTCAAACTGGACCTCGACAAAAGACACAGAAGTAAGAGAACCTATAAAGGTTAGGTGTAAAAAGATGGAAGACAAAAGTCCCGCTGATAGCAGCCAGACAGCAGGTACCAGAGAGGTGGGATGAGGCCAGGGGGCATGTTTGAGTGTGTACCCTAAGGTTGTAGTCTGAGAACTGTGAAAGCTGCAGAGGAGTTGACCGTTTCCCTAGTCGCTCCCCTTGGGGAGTTCGCCGTGCGTGCTGTGCCGTGTCCGTGTGGGGATGTGTGTGTGCACACTGGCGCATGTGCACACACATGCACGTACACTTCCTCCTGCCTAGTCCCGGAGCCCCAGGATTCCCTTCATCACGTCAGCCTGCAGCAAAGGCCTGTGTGCCATGGCAGGAGGTGAGCACTGACCTGTCTCCAGAGCCAGCTCTGCTCTCTAGAACTTTAAAAAGGTAGACAGGTGACTGGTGGTGCTTCCTCCTCTCTTCCTCTCTCTCCCCTTTCTCCTCTGAACTTGGAGCATACATATGTACATAGTGGGGATTCGCGCTGCATGGGAGACTAGAGAATTAAGAGTCCGTGTTTTCCCTACTTATCACCTTAAAGATGGATTTTCTGTATGTGTGAAAGACACACCTGGGGCCTGTTGGGAGAAGGAAGGCAGGCTCAGACGCAGCCACGGCTGAAGCTTGGCCATGCTGGACATGGTTCCTGCCCAGTGGGGGAGGGAAGCGGTGGGTGTGTGCGACTTGTCAGTGCGTCAGGGCAATGCGTGGGCTTGGGCCTCTGTGCTAGGGGGGCTGTGGCGCCCTTTTCTCTTTAGCTTGAATTCTTTGTTTTGTGTGACCAAATGGATGTTTAGAGAAAGTTCCCAAAGTTTAAAATTCCTTAAATGTAACAGGGAAACTGAAAAACAATTCAGCACTTAGCCTGTAATCTGAATTTCAGTACAGTAGTTGTTAGGGTGATGATACTGGTGGTTTTATTTTTGAAATACCAGAAGAATAGCATTGTCATTTAAAGTAATAGTTTATGATACTTAAAGCAAAAAATGTGTGACGTCACAGTTGCACACCATCTTGTCTGCTCTGCGTCATATACAATCTAGACAAGGACATGGAAACAGACAGGACCCAGGGACATACTATCCGCATCTCTGAAGATGTCCCGTCCTTCCTGTAAACCTTTGGACGCAGCACATTCCCGAGAGCCTTCGTTGCCCTACCACTGCCCTCCTTTGGTTAGTGGCCTCCAAAGACGCCCTCAGGCTACAGTGGGTGGGTCAGGAAAGCTGGGCGTGGTGTTGGACAGTGACTAACCCCCTGGGAGTCTTCCCTGCCCTGTGGCTCCAGAATGACGAGCACCTGCTCCCTGAGCTGGGATGGGGGAGTTATGTGGCCTTGATGGCTGGAACAGGAGGAGCACTGACCAAGGTTGGCACTGTTTTGGTTTGTGGCTTCAGGTGCTGCCCAGCTGAGGCCCCCATGAGAGATGGCCAAGCTCTGTGGGCCTTACTCCCAGCCCCACACGTCTTGTGTGACGTGATGGGCGACCAGGATACCAAGGTGCCCGGTCTTGCCGTCTTATTAAAGCGCCTTCTCCTGAGTGTGTGTATGATATGAATCGGGGCTTCCAGAAGGTTCTGTTCATCAGGCATTGGGTGCCTTAGAAACAATCTGATGTCCACCCTTTCCACACCAAGGACCCTGAAATCCAAGGGACAAGGTGATTCGTCCCAGGTCCTGGCAGTCAGTGTGAACTGTCGTTCATGAGTATGGTGAGTGCTGGAGTACTATGCTTAGCAGTCAATTCAGGGGCTGGGGCTCTGGGGGCTGTGACTGGGCCCAGTGCACACATCGCCAAGCATGCAGCATGGGGAGGGACCCCAGCCTCTGACACAGGCACCGGGGCCGTCAGAAAACCTTAGTCCTTTTCCACTTTCAGTGTGACCTGTGGAGACCTGACATGGCTATTCAAGGGCAGTCTTTGGGAAGAGGAGGTGGGGTCAGAATACACCGCCGTGGCACAGCAGTGAGATTCAGGAAAGCTGACTTGTAGATAGATAGATGGAAGAGCCTAGTTACCGACACAGATGCATGTGTGTGAGGGACGTTCAGATCCAATGCGGAGAGGCATTAAAAGTAATCAGAGGGCTGGCCGAGTGGTGCATTGGTTAAGAGTTGCTTGGGACGCCAGCTCTGAGCATCAGGGCCCCGGTTCAGATCCCACATGAGGGCCAGTGACACTGCCCTCTACAGCTAAGATGCTGAACAACAGCTCAACCTGGAGCTGGGT